CTGGAAGCTATCCAAAAATTGCTCTGAATGCCTCTTCTTCAATGTCAGAGGGAATACTTTCCGAATCGCTCATTTTTTAAACTAGTGACATCAATATTATTTACTGTCATATTGACATTTCCATGCATGCATTAGCTTTTTTCGTTTTCCTGTTATTACCGATTCTGAACCGTCCTAGAATTGTGATGCGTATGCACAGAAGGAAATATGAAGACATTATTTCATTTGCGCATGCGCTGGAGAGTTCTAGGACGATTCAGAATCGATAATAACAGGAAAACGAACAGACCTATTGTGTTATTTGAACAAAGGTATTAAATTGATTTTTAGGAAAGGTATATAGTTAAGTAGAATAATTTTTAAAATTTATTGTGTATTTTTATAGTTAGACGTAGATAAAATATTGTACAATACACGCGAGTTAACTCCATTACGATACTTGTGTGGTTACATAACTCTTGCTACGCACTCATGCAACTTTCACACGTGTATCTTAATGATGCTGTTAACTCACTTGTATCGTAAATATTATCTATTAAAGGTTGCTATTAGTCTTGGATCAAAAAAAGGTACTTAAATTGATGTCTGGTTGTATTGACTTGTAAATAAATACCCATAATCCGTTAAATCAAAGGCGCACCGACACGAATTCACAAAACGCAACAAGTCCCGAAATCCGATGCAAGATTTCGGATGCCAGGCTTTCTCTCTTTTAAATTTCGCGCCCGCGTTAATCTTTTGACGAAGATTAACGAGCGCGGGCCGAACAGGCGAGGATATGGAGCAAAGTGGTGAGGGGGAGGGGAGAAAACGAGGGAAAGCGCGAAAGATTGGAAATGGAAAACGCAATCTGGAGCAGTCGCTTCGAATCAGACGCCGCTGTCAAAGAGATCGCCAACCGATGTTTTTTTTTCTAGTTTCAGTCCGAAAGAAACTCAGCACACTCTGTCTTTTTATTTTTGTGTTTGCGATGCTGGAACGGAGGGGATTTCTTTAGGTTTTTTAGGCTCTATTCCGTTGCAGAACCAGACCGATAAACTACGGGAAAGAGCGGTTCCTGAAAAACATCGGTTTAATACGGAACGGTTTGGTAAAATACTGGTAAAGTCAAATGTTGACGTTTTCTAAATTTCAATACCTCTATTATAACATTTATCTTTTATGCATTTTTAATGTACCTATTCTCTGCTTTTACGTTTGCTTTTTTTTTCAATGGAGTTTAATATTAAAAAGTACTTTATTAATAAACTGTTACACTCGTTAGGCAGTGAAGATTTGCAGGTCCAATATTAAAACAGATCAATAATAAATAAAAAAATCTAATCAATATTTATATTTTTATAGCTTACAAAACATTCACGATTACTTGTTGTCTTGTTTTTCATATTTTTTTAAATGTTCCTGACTTTAAGAAACAATAGCTGAATGATAAGTTTAAATGATCCTAAAAAGTCATTCTATTTAGTTAATGGAATTTATTTACCTTTAATGCCTACCTCTATTTAGCCGGAGAGCTGGCGACATATTTAGAGAACATATTTTAGGCAAGTTAGAATAAGAAGAAAAAAATTTAATAACTTGGGAACCCAGAATCCTAAGTCTGGCTGTATGTTTTACCATTTTGTTATAACAAAACCACAAAATCCAGCCTTCTCGCGCTGGTTAGTTTGGTGACAGTTATAACTGAATTTTTCAGGAACCGTGTTCCGTAATAAGAAAATTTTCAGGAAACCGATAGAAACGGAACATAAAACCATAACCAAGATCAGCAACGGAATACACCCTTAGTTAGTGCTTGAGTTTAACATCGTTTTTCTAATTTGGTTATATCCATCAAAAATAGTAGATAAAATAGTACTTTAACCGCAAGGGCAGATTAAATGATACTTTAACAGCGAGTATACGTTAAAAACTTTATTCTGCAATCCTATATTAAAAATATTCAAATTAAAAAGAATAATCATTATTATTTGTATTCATGAGCTTGTTATATCTTCAAAGTTTAGAAGTTACTATACTGCTACGGAAATTTAAACGGTATAGCTTATCCTTAAACCTTGAAATAACAATGTTTTCATTGACCAGTATTGTACTTTTTAGCATTGAATAGTACGACCATAAACTGGACGACTGCATTTTTATTTTATTTTTCAGAAAAATATGCTAAAAGTATGTTTTCACTTGATCGTTCTTCTTTCACGTTTTTTAATTGCTTCCATTTTTGAAAATTTTTGTATTCCTTTTCATAAGTTACTAGCTTTTTCCCGCGACTACGTTCGCGTTACACCTCGAATCGTTCATGTGTTGATTTAAATGATTATTTGCTCCTTTATAGATAGAGCTGGTCAGCTTTACAAATGCACTATAAACTATGTGTTTTAAAGTTTCAGAGCTACTCGTATTCGTAACGTACTTCAAAAACTTCCAAAAAAAAATTTTTTTGCTTAAAACCACTGGAGCTTTTCGGGTTTTTCTGTTGCCATATTATTAAGAAATTATGGGTTTTAACTAAAAACTAAAAAAAATTTCAAAGGTTTTTTAAAAAATTCCAAATTCAAAAAAAAAATCGCGCAAAAAACTCATAATCGTGTTTCTGGGTTCAAAATATAATACTGTTAAAAATAATTGCACTTATTTAAGACTCGCCCTGTATATCCTTTCAAAAAATTGATTTTGTTATTTTTGACTTATTACACATTTTTTACTTAAAATTTACAAAAAACCGTCAATATGACAACTTCAAGAGCATTTAAGTATTTCAAGTATTTCAAAGCAGTTCAATTTTGGCGCCAAAATGATTTTGAAATTTTGCTTTTTAACACTTTTTTTCAAACTTTTCTAACTACTTCCATTGACTGAAACTAATTATGTATGGTGGAATAGAGGGTGGATGTAATTTTTTTATTTCTTAATTATGTATAGGGTGTAGTAGTTTAGGCTTTCGCGGCCATCGTTTGAAGAATTTTGGTTTTTCGGGTTATTAGGCCGTCGTCGGTTAGAATTGCTTCCTAACGTTTCGCTAGCACGAGTGGCTAGCATCTTCAGAGGTGTGTTTGCTCCGATTGCTCACACTAGACTGATGCCTCCGCGTCGGCGTAGCGCGTATTTATGCGTCGGCGGAGGGGGCGTGGCTTGTTCGGGTGGTAGTTCTTCCGGAACTGGTCTACTTCTCTGTGCTGCTACTTTGGTCCTAGATATAGGCTGGATGCCAAATTCTGTTAAGGTAGAAAGTTTCTTCCTTCCTGTTGAAATTATTTGGATGTTTGTGAATTTCAACAGCTTCCCTGTTTCAGACGAGGATGATATCCGAATGTTGTGCAATGACTTGGGTGTCCTCGAATTGGATTTTGTGGTCACCATCTCTTAAGAGCATGTTCTGCTACGGCTGACTTCTCTGTTTGCCCTAATCTGCAGTTTCTCTTGTGTTCCGTAAGTCTCGTTCCTACTGAGCGTTTGGTAGTTCCAATATATACGCTACCGCAGGAACAAGGTATACGGTAGATCCTCGCAGAGGATAATGGTTCTCTTTTTGTCTTTTGCTGGTCTTAAGCAGTCCCTTATTTTTCGGGTAGGTTTGTATATGGTTTTTGATGTTATGCTTCTTGAGAACTTTACCAATCCCTATCGGTGACCTGGGAAACATATGGAAGGAAAGCCTTATTAATGATGTTTTCCTGTTCATTGGCGTCAGGTCTCCTCTGCCTAGGTGCCAGCGCCGCCTTTATTTCTCTGTCATTATAGCCATTGGCAAGAAAGGCTTTATTTAAATGACTTAGTTCCTCTTGGATGTGTTCATTAGCACAGATACGTCTTGCCCTATTTGCTAATGTTCCGATAATCCCCTGTTTTTAGCTTGGATGGTGATTTGATAGTTTGTGTAAGTACCGGTCTGTATGAGTGGGTTTCGATACACGGTGTGATCAAAAGGTCGCCATTTCTCTTGACAAGCACATCGAGGAAGGCCAGTTGGTTGTTTACTTCGGTTTCCATGGTAAATTTTATGCTCGGGCTCTGCGAATTAAGGTGATGAAGGAAGTCATCTAGGCTGTCACGTCCATGTTTCCAAACCACAAATGTATCGTCCACATAACGAAACCATACAGCGGGCTTAAGAACGGATGACTCTAGCGCTTTTTCTTCAAATCTCTCCATAAAGAAATTAGCAATTATTGGGCTGATTGGGCTACCCATTGCGACACCTTCTGTTTGTTCGTAGTAATTGCCGTTCCATAAGAAATAGCTACCAGTCAGACACACTCGGAAGAGCTCCGCGATGTCAGGTGGGAATGATTCCTTGATTAGATCCATTGACTCGCCTAGGGGTACTCTCGTGAATAGAGATACCACATCGAAGCTTACCATGATGTCAGATGGTTCCAGTTTTATATCTTTTAGCTTTTGGACGAAATGCGTTGAGTCCTTCACATAAGAGTTTGTGTTGCCGACTTTCGGTTGTAGGATCGTAGTCAAGTATTTAGCTAAGTTGTAAGTAGGCGATCCTGGAGCACTCACTATCGGTCTAAGTGGGACACTAGCTTTATGAATTTTTGGTAGTCCATAAAGGCGTGGTGGTTGAGCTTCCGAGTTAATTAATTTTGATTTCAGATGTTCCGGGAGTGAGGAGGCCTTGATGAGTCTGTTGGTGTTTCTGACAATTAAGGCAGTAGGATCCTTCTTCAGTAACTTATAAGTCTGGGGCTCCAGTAGATCCTCGATTTTGGACCTATAATCCTCAGACTTCATTACTACCGTCAACTTCAGACTTCATTACTACAGACTTCAATTCTAACCGACGACGGCCTAATAACCCGAAAAACCAAAATTCTTCAAACGATGGCCGCGAAAGCCTAAACTACTACATTAAACGGCTCTACGGGGAGGAGTTATTCAGATTGTACCAACGCCTGGACAAGACACGGAAGCGAAAAGCTCACTTGCTATCATCGCTTGCTTTTCTGTGCCGCTGCCGAGACCAAAACGTAATACCAGGATTTCTCAAAATGAAGAGGGTATTCTCATCTACTCAGGCAAATCGCCTTTACACCAGGATGGAGAAAAATTTTCTTCGTGAGAGGATTCATACATCTAGACGAGACTTAGCAAAGGTAGACAGGGAATTGATCGACCTATTTTATATCCTTACCGCCAACATGCAACCTGTAGACTGGGACAAGATTGACGGAATAACATACCAAAATATGCAAAATGAATTGGAAAGAACATCAGCTCGCCAGAAGATCAAATATGAAAAACTGCAACCAAAAACCAAGCCGGAATATAGGATATCTCTTGAACCTGCTCGAACCGTGGTGAATCTCACAGATAAGACCCTTACGACATCAGAAGTAACATTATTAGCGAAGGGAGGAAACTTTGCCATAACACCGAAAGTGGTTCCAGTGGAAGACATTATTGCCGGAACAGAAGCTGCCATACGTAACCTTCCTAACAGTATCGCAGACGAAATCCGATTTGAAACGGTCAACATATTGAGAACTGCTAAGGCTCCAAAAAGTAATCTGTCTAGGGAAGAACATCAGGCTCTAAAATCGCTGAATGCTGACAAGGACATTCTGGTCTTACCGGCAGACAAGGGGAATGCTACGGTAGTAATGAAGTCTGAGGATTATAGGTCCAAAATCGAGGATCTACTGGAGCCCCAGACTTATAAGTTACTGAAGAAGGATCCTACTGCCTTAATTGTCAGAAACACCAACAGACTCATCAAGGCCTCCTCACTCCCGGAACATCTGAAATCAAAATTAATTAACTCGGAAGCTCAACCACCACGCCTTTATGGACTACCAAAAATTCATAAAGCTAGTGTCCCACTTAGACCGATAGTGAGTGCTCCAGGATCGCCTACTTACAACTTAGCTAAATACTTGACTACGATCCTACAACCGAAAGTCGGCAACACAAACTCTTATGTGAAGGACTCAACGCATTTCGTCCAAAAGCTAAAAGATATAAAACTGGAACCATCTGACATCATGGTAAGCTTCGATGTGGTATCTCTATTCACGAGAGTACCCCTAGGCGAGTCAATGGATCTAATCAAGGAATCATTCCCACCTGACATCGCGGAGCTCTTCCGAGTGTGTCTGACTGGTAGCTATTTCTTATGGAACGGCAATTACTACGAACAAACAGAAGGTGTCGCAATGGGTAGCCCAATCAGCCCAATAATTGCTAATTTCTTTATGGAGAGATTTGAAGAAAAAGCGCTAGAGTCATCCGTTCTGAAGCCCGCTGTATGGTTTCGTTATGTGGACGATACATTTGTGGTTTGGAAACATGGACGTGACAGCCTAGATGACTTCCTTCATCACCTTAATTCGCAGAGCCCGAGCATAAAATTTACCATGGAAACCGAAGTAAACAACCAACTGGCCTTCCTCGATGTGCTTGTCAAGAGAAATGGCGACCTTTTGGATCACACCGTGTATCGAAAACCCACTCATACAGACCGGTACTTACACAAACTATCAAATCACCATCCAAGCCAAAAACAGGGGATTATCGGAACATTAGCAAATAGGGCAAGACGTATCTGTGCTAATGAACACATCCAAGAGGAACTAAGTCATTTAAATAAAGCCTTTCTTGCCAATGGCTATAATGACAGAGAAATAAAGGCGGCGCTGGCACCTAGGCAGAGGAGACCTGACGCCAATGAACAGGAAAACATCATTAATAAGGCCTTCCTTCCATATGTTTCCCAGGTCACCGATAGGATTGGTAAAGTTCTCAAGAAGCATAACATCAAAACCATATACAAACCTACCCGAAAAATAAGGGACTGCTTAAGACCAGCAAAAGACAAAAGAGAACCATTATCCTCTGCAGGGATCTACCGTATACCTTGTTCCTGCGGTAGCGTATATATTGGAACTACCAAACGCCTCAGGAACGAGACTTACGGAACACAAGAGAAACTGCAGATTAGGGCAAACAGAGAAGTCAGCCGTAGCAGAACATGCTCTAAGAGATGGTGACCACAAAATCCAATTCGAGGACACCCAAGTCATTGCCACAACATCTGGATATCATCCTCGTCTGGTCAGGGAAGCTGTTGAAATTCACAAACATCCAAATAATTTCAACAGGAAGGAAGAAACTTTCTACCTTAACAGAATTTGGCATCCAGCTATATCTAGGACCAAAGTAGCAGCACAGAGAAGTAGACCAGTTCCGGAAGAACTACCACCCGAACAAGCCACGCCCCTCCGCCGACGCATAAATACAAGCGCTACGCCGACGTAGGAGGCATCAGTCTAGTGTGAGCAATCGGAGCAAACACACCTCTGAAGATGCTAGCCACTCGTGCTAGCGAAACGTTAGGAAGCAATTCTAACCGACGACGGCCTAATAACCCGAAAAACCAAAATTCTTATGTATAGGGTGTTTTAGAAATCCAACAAAATTCGAAATTTTGCAAAAAATTTGAAAAAAGAAAATCTCTCCAAAATAATAAATAGTGAAATGACTATTTACTAGTAGTGGGAATTATCGAATGAATACTATCGAAACATTCGATAGTTGCAATTCATTCGAATAATTCGATAGCTAGTAAGAAAACATTCGTCGAAAACTATTCGAATAAAAATTATCGAATAAATGCGTCATCTGCCTTGAAATATTGTATTCTAGTAATTCGGCAGCAAAAACCATTCATTTATCAAATTCATTCATTTGTAAAATTCATTTATTCGTCAGGATCGATTATAATAAAATATAAACTGGATTTAGTTCTTTCCTAGAAACCCGACAGCGGTCGGTGGCAATGCTATGAAAGAAGCCGGCATCTTTGATTTTTTGCGGAGTCAAATAAAGATAAGGACACATTATTTTTTTTTATTGAGGTGCTAGTATTTACACAGAAAATATATTATGAAGGGCGCTGTTGCCATATATTCGTATTAGTTGGTATTAGCAAAGAATATTATTCTTTAGCATTAGTTAGTTAGGGATAGTATGTCTATATGTTTTGCATTTTTTTATTAATATTCTGTTGTTACACTGCAATAATACTTTTTATTTTGGATGTAGGAGAATGATTTTTAATGTTTTTAAGCAAATACTGGTTTAATAAATAATAATAACAGTAATAATTTGTTATACCTATTAACAACAAAATTTACAATCATTTAATAATACAAACATTTTTTTTAAGTAGTAGCAAAATATAAACAACAAATAGGAAGTCAAAAGTATTTATATTAGATCCTATTTAAAAATAATATAGTCTCTAAATGGCAACGTTGGCTTATTAAATAATAATAATTACAGAACTAATTTGTTATATTAACAACAAATTTTAAAATCATGAAATATAAACATTTATTAATTTTCTAAGCATGCAGTGTAATGGAAGGAAAATATAAATAAATAATTAGAAATCAAAATTATTTATATTACTTTTTATTACTTTATATTACTATTTAAAAATAATATTTACTTTAAAAAATAAATAAAATATTTCTTCGCAAAAAACTACATGTAAGAGAATTAGCATAAACAAAATACAAACAATGTTAACTTTTTTTTAAATTGGCACGTGTAAAACTTTCAATTTAATTTTCTCACCCCAAAATTTGAGTTCGATAACCCCCCCTTTACTTAACCACATTACTTAAATATAATTATTAGGTTCAACTAATTCATATTATTAAAACATCTAAAATACAAATATGTATTTTTAAAATTAATTGCAAGTTCATGTCATCTCTCTTTAAAATTGCTACTTCTCAAAATTTCCCATTAAAAAAATTCAATCTAACCTAACCATAATATACCATATAAAATTAAATAATTGAAAGATTGGGCTACGGAAAATCACACAAATTTTCGGAAAAATTTTGACCACTTCGCACACAATCGTCAATTAAAAACAACTACTATTTTAGTATTTTAAATATTTTAATAAACGCAAAAATAGCATAGTATTTACAAGACGAAGTTATAAAAATTTGGAAGGACTAATAATGCACTGACGCACACAAAAATCAAACGAATACTAAATTTCATTTATCAAAAGCATTCGATAGTCGTGGCTCAACGATAACCATTTAAGCTTGATTTTCATGCATCCTTTGTCCGACGATACGTTGATACGATATTAATTTTATTGGTAGAATTTAAAGACTTTGATTGGTTAGAAAATTACGCAGTTTTTAAATTTATTGCATTTTCATGCCTCCGTTTATCGGATATACGTTGGTGTTATTTTATATTTTCGTTTCCATAACGATTTTGCTATTTTACTTATATTTTCATTATTGTTAGATTAAATTTGTCAAAAAAGTGTCGTCCGTTATCGTATGAACGGGTCCGTTGACGGGCTGAAGTAAAATATTTACGGATGATAAGTGGCGCGAAAACGCTATGACCAATCAGAGCACCGTCGTCGGACCAACGTACCAACGTATAACGGATGCATGAAAATCAAGCTTTAGTCGCACGGCGAGGTTGTCACATTTTAGTATACAAATGAATGAATTATTTTATTCGAATAAAACATAAAACCATTCGATAGCTGAAATCATTCATTCAGTAACCATTCGATAGTCTAATTCATTCGATAGTTCCCATCGCTACTATTTACCCTCTATAGATAGAACCCCTACCTATGGTCCCATATAAACTGTATTACTAAAATAAATAATTTTGACATATGAAGTTTTCAATTGAATATTTGAAGTTTTCAATTGTCGCTTTTCTTGATATACTTTCTTGATTTTTTTTTTATTTTTCATCTCTTTTTTTATTTATTAAGAGCACTAATACTTTCTTTATACGTTATTTTTTATTCCTTGAAGGATGATTTGAAGAAGAAATATTTTGTTATATGATGTCACTAAATAAACCCTTGTATAAAATTTTCTACTTTTAGATGTTATAGTAATGCATTTTTGTACAGCAAATTTTTCCCCCATTCCCTATTATTCTACTCCCTAAAAGTATAAATTTCATAAATTCGCTTTATCCAAATAATTAACTCATGTCTTTTAAATGATCGTTTGTGTCAATTTTTATGAGTATAATCCAGAGGTCACCAAGTTTTATATATAATTTAATAACTTTACCCGTTTGGTTAATGAATTTCAAAAATCTCTTCCAATTCTTTTTGTAGGATTTCATTCTTCTTGAGTAAGAAATGTTCATACAACAAATTGTTTCAACATAATTTTACTCTCTAAGAGGATGAATTTCCTAAAATCGCTTTGTGTAGCTAATTCAATAATGTCGTTTAAACGAACCTTTGTGCTAATATTTATGTCTCTACAGCTGACGGTATGAACTGGCCCCTAAAATATCTAAAAACTTGATATATAATCTAACTGACACACCACTAACAATGACAAATAATTTATTTCTGGAGGTATTGTGTGTAGGTGTTTTTCAGGCATGTTTTAGTATATAGTCGTTTTACACAAAGAAATAGCCACTAAACAATATAAAAATACTTCATAAAAAATCTACACATATACACCTTTCATTTAAAAAAAGAATCATCAAGATTGGTGAAGCGGTTTCGGCGGGATGGATGTAACAAAAAAAACCTTGAGCAAAAAAAAAACCTTGAGCAAACCTTGGAACAATATATGTATGGATTCGGTTAGGTTAGGATTTAAATGGAAGTAGTTTGGACATGGCGTTATCTCGTCAAGGAGGCCAAGTTCGACAAAATATCAAGAGATAACTTTTAAATGGCCTACACAATTTTGATATCAAAAGAAAAAAAAGTCAGTGGCGCACGTTTTTTATTGAAAAATATTCCGGTGATTGAAAAGATTCCGGTGATATTCCGACGATAAAGAAATGCCCATCTCTACGGATAATCTACATAATCTTAACATTCTGAACAACTTAGACCAAATAACCCTCTACCCTCCGGCACGTATTGTGATTATCTCAAGCTAACCTACACTACTCCAACGCTACCCGCAAACTTCCAAGAACCGCCCTCCCCACCCCCATCTCAAGCATCCCCTCGATCATATTTTACGTATTAATAACCGATCGAGCCGCTCTACCCTCCCCCACCCTCACGTTTTGTCATCTACCCCCCCTAACGTAACGTAGCTCTTATAACTGTGGGCAGGGCCGTAACAGGGCAAATATTTGCGCTGGCCGTCGTTTAACAAACAGTAATTTCTTACCTCGGGGCCGGCCAGGCCTTTATTGGCTTAGATTAAGTTAATTGAGCCGGGGTAGATGGCGCGCCGCGCTGGGGCGATTAAGGCGGAGGAGGCTAGGTGGCGCTGATGGAACGTCAAGTGTGATTGTTATGCGATTATAATGGCAGGCTGGGGAGCGGGGGTAAGGTAATCGAGGACACGAGGGGTTTTTAATTGTTTGGGTCGGTGTAATTTTGCGTTATTTGTTAGTTGGCTTTATACAGCTTTATGCAGAGTTGTTTTACACAGAGAAAACACTACCATATCTACAAAGATAATATCATCACGCCAACGATATCAGTGTTTCTTCAAATATATCAGTGTTTGAATCGACATGTATCATGATATTGCTTTCGAAATATACAGGGTGGCGCTTCTCATACGCCGCGGAGGCGCCAAGGAGAACGAGAGTTTGTATTGAAATGAAATTTTGTCAGCATATGTTGGTTACATTACTTTCACGTTTGCACCCGCCAATCAAAATCCGTTTAATTCCCAGTGCTCGATTTCGACCGAAAAGAGCCTTGTGTAACATCGTATTTGAAAAGGTCCGAGCCGTTTTCGATCAGCTGACTGGGAAATTTTACCGTTCAAGTTGGTTAATTCGTTTAATTTAATATTTAATCTATATTTAATCGTTTGCTAGCCTTTCTGGGTGTTTGAACGATTTTATATACGGTCACTACTATTTTCCCGTCAATTTGTGTTTCATATTAGTCTTGTTTTTACATATTATTATACATATTCAAGGATATTAGTGTGGTTTAATATCTTTTTAATAACTAATTTGTTCTGATTTTGGTGCTTTTCATCTTTATTTTGTCATATTATACATACGTACATTTATTGTATTTTGTAGCAATAACAAATTAACTTGTCCTTAAGCAAAATGGTGTTTGCCAATACATTCACAAAGAATAGACAGGTAAGTAAGTTACATCCAGAAGAAGAAACAACAACAAGGAAGAAGCACATCAAATGTCCTATATGTCCAAATGAAGAGAATTTTTTGTTCCATGATTGTTTAATTAAACATTTAAGTACCATACATAATCTGAATATTCAACAATCTGTTTTTATTTTAGAAATCTTGAAGAGTTTACACCTTGGATGTCGCTGGATAATAAAGAAGGAAACTATGCTCGTCATGATAGACAAAAACATGCTAGTGGAGAAGAGACTATTACATAACTGTAACAGAAGCAATTCTAAAGGTTGTAGACTTATTTATGTTATACAAATATTTCATTGTTAATAAAATTCATTCTTAGGATTTGTTAGTTCAATGCAGCAAACGTAATATGAAAACTGGAGGTAGTATTCGTATAAATGGGACCTGCCCTTCAATAACTACAGTGAGAAAATAACTACAGATGGTAATCATGATATTTTTGTGTCTAATACCTACCTAATGATTAAAAAATACAGGTCAAATTCAAGCCAAATTTTTCGAAACATGTGGGCCATACAGATGAGTTGAGAACAAAGCGATTGTCGAAGGTGGAACAAAGTATTATTGTGGGACAATTATCAGCAGGGGTATCAAATGACAGAATAATTCAAGATGCGAGAAAAAACATTCAAAATAATAAAGTTTAGAGGATAAATTTAGTAACAAGAGGAGATTTGGCATATTTGATTCGCAAGTACAACATTGATAAGAAGAGGGATAATGATGATATGACAGCTACAGCCCTAAAAATTGAAGAATGGAATAAACAAGGAAATAACCATTTATTTTTATTTAAGAAAATTGGTAATTAAATCAAATGTTGATTAGTGTTAATTAAAAGTTTCAAAAGAAGGTTATATTATTATAAGATGTTTATTTAATTTCAGGTGAAAATTATCCAGGTTTAAAAGATGAAAATTTTGCAGTGGGGTATATGAATGCTGTTATGGAAAAAAAGCTGCTGGATTTTAGTCGCATCATATGTATTGACGGCACCCATGGAACAAACAGGAAAAATTTTAATTTAACTGTTATATGCATTAAGGATGAAAATAATTTAGTATTTCCAGTGGCGTTTTTGCTTTCCAACAGGTTGGATCAGATAATTCAAGAATTTTTTTTTAAAGCTCTTTTAACAAACCTAGGTAAACCAATTGATGCAGAATATATTATGAGCGACAATGACCCCAAAATATTATGGGGGTGATGGTTATATAATTATTAGTAAATGGTTGTTACGTTAGGTTGTAATATAGTAAATTTAAAAATAACATTAATCATGTAGACAGAGCAAAAAGAGGAACATTCAGAGGCAAACATTATCCAGGGGAGAAAATATATGTTTTGTGTTTCACCTTCACCATTTTTAATAAGTTTTATATAATTTTGTTTTTATGTATATATTAAGTTTTTATTTTTAGAACGGGTGATGGTTATATAATTATTAGTAAATGGTTGTGGTTATTATTATTAAAAAATTGTTTTGAGAGGTTCATGGCTCAGAATGTAGTAAATTTAAAAATAACATTAATCAGTGTAAACGCTGCATAGAGAGGAACAATCAGAAGCAAACATATTATTCAGAGAAGAAAATATATGTATTATTTTTCACTATTATGAGTAACTATTATTATACTCTTTAATTGTTTTTTATGCATATAAGTTTTTATTATTTTTAGAATGGGCGATGGTAATCTGCTTGTTAAGTTTTTAGGATTTTGGAAAAACAGATTATGACTAAAATTTTATATAGTTTTTAATTATGTATTTAAAATAGTCTTTTCTCATATAACTACCACTACTGTTGTTATCTGTGTTAGGTATATTGATATTTTATTGGTTACGGTTTTGCTTTAATATATTTTCTTAAATGTTATTTGTCATATCTCTGTACTTATTATATTTTGGGCTGACAAGGTTTGGTTTATAAATAAATGTTTGAAATAATTTAGTTGTATAAATATCACTGTAGTTTCTATTCTTGTCTTTATTACTAACAGAAATAAATTTTATCAACAAATTCTAATCTTGTGTTTTTCACCCTCATTCATGCTAAGCCTATTTCTGTATGTTAACATTTTTGTTAATACATTATGGACCACAAAATAAATAATGTAAAGTTCTTTAACCAAAATGAAACATTACAAAAATTTTGCAATAAATGTAGGTAAATACAGTCTGTTCGTTATCATTATTAATCTAGGTTCTGCTACCTACTTTAAAATTTAGAAATAAAAAACTTCTAATATAGATCTTAAAATTTACAGGAATTTGTTTTAAAAATTATAAAGATACTGCAGAATCAAAAAAAGGCAACTCAAATATTAACACAAATTATTTGAAAAATGGCTGTAGTATCTCCTATGGGTATATCTAAAAGTAAATATAACACACTCCTGATCTCTACATAAACCAACATATTAATTATATGTAAACGAATAAAATAATGATTACCTATAGGTATAGCTTTTTTAAATTGCACCCTCCCATTTTTCTGTATTTTAATAAATAAAATATATAGTTATCTTTTGAAAAACAACAATTCTACGTCAAACGTATTTTCATACAGGAAATTTGTCCATTTTTTAATTAATATTAAAATAAATACATTTTAAATTTCAGAATCTATTTTCTAAATTGCGCAAAAGTGTATAAAGCTATGGTATAAATAATCTCCTCATTTTCAAATAACGCGGGAAATTTGCTCCGCCCCCATTTGTGCTGAAACGATTTGATTGGCGGGTGCAAACGGGAAAGTAATGTATGGTAATTCAGAGCCCTTTTTAAAAACATATATAACTTTACAGGGTGTCCTCAAAAAAAGTTACATATCAAAATTGTGTTTTTTGTAATGGAACACCCTATAATATATTAATTGATTTTCGGATTCTGTGAGAAAAATAAAGGTGAGTTTTATAAGAGAAGTATATGACTAAAATGTAAGGTTTTTGGCATATTTAACATTTTCTAAAAAAAAAGAAGAATTTGAAATTACAGTAAAAGCTACATACAGTCTGACAAACGGATCTGAAACAACGGGGCAACGGCAAGGGGATCGCAATTTTCTAAAATCATGACCGATTTCATTCATAAAATATCCACGAGCGTGCGGTGTTTCATAAAAATATATCAGGAATTTTTATAATATTTTCCAGTAAAGTTTATAATATTATTTTACTTTAAATGTACCTACATTTTGTTTAGTCATTTGCCAAATATAGTAATATTTGTTAAAACGCGTGTACTAATTACAATAAACACAAATCAAGTTAAAGATATAAAACACAATACAATAACCCCGCCACTGGATTTTTCAATAGCAATGACTGTTTCTACTATTCCTAGAAAGGGGCATAAAGTTGAGGGGTAATGGCGGCAAGACGTGCGAGAATCTCGACCAATCAGACTGGTTGAATCCGGGATGCCATGATGAATTTTGTCAGCGTTGCCAGCTTACCCTAAGCGGACATTATCTTAAGGAAATACTTTACCTTTTATATAGGCAGAATGAACGAAATCAGTTAATTAGATAAATATACATTATTACAATAAGAACTACGTCAACATATTAGCATATATATAATTATGTATGCTGAAATGAACTAAAATATATTCAATTTATAGGTAATATCGAGCAACTTTGCTTTTCTATAATTAAACGTGACAACATCGACTTTTTTTGCCCGAATTCCTTCCGCTGTTTTCGTTTGTCAGATAATAAATTGGAGTTTACACGGTATAGCCTAATATATATTTAATTAACTATTGTACTTTAAATAAAATTAAAACTTACAGCGCGAGACAAAATTAATATTGAACATTGGTCACCTTTAAAAGCATGTTACTCTTTTATTTAAGATGGAACACCCAGTATATTATTCCAATATTCAATGGAGAATTCATGTCTCTTCAGAATACTATTAAGGTTGCCAACCCCTCAAACAAAGATTTTTCTAGATATTTTCATTTACATTATTTGATCTAAGTAGATCTTTATTATTTGATAACATCTAGGTGGCTGTGATATGGTCTGACGTTACTTCAACATAACTGTCTAATTATAATGATCAAACTGTGTTGCCAAATCTCATTTATTTTACCTAAACCAAGCGGATAAATTTATTTTATTATACCGTAGGAAACAATTTATTTTTATTTAAATTAACCCCTATCTTCAAGCCAGAGAGCTTGCCGGTGTATCTTTGCGCCCCAAGCTACGCGAAGAGAAATTCGCGATTTTAAAATATAAGGAAGGTTTCAGCCCTTCTTTATTTTAACGTGCACGGGCCAGCAACCTTTCAAAACCCTACACTAAACAACCGTTTTGCTCGGAGCGAAAACGGGAGTGGGGTGAAAAACCACCTCCCGAGGGTGGTTTTGGGGGGTGGTTGCGCATATATTACTTTCCGGGGGATCAGACGTTCGTTTTCTTGGCGCAGTTGCTTTCGGGTTATGATCGCCAAAGTTAAGAATAACGCTGCCAGACAGCAGAATAATGGTTATTTTTTTTTCTCGTCGACTAGTATTATGTACAAATTTACTTCATATTATAACTTCCACATTACTGTATATACAGGGTGATCCATGGTTTAGAAAAAATGCTCCAATCAAGTTTCCTGTTTGAGATTTTATGTTCAGTCTTTTTATAAAGTATTACTTACTACTGCCATTACTCACCGACGAGTATTCGACACGCATCAGAAGATGGTTACGCGGGGCTTTTTTTTTCATGAGCTTTTCTGTGACTAAAAAGCCCAATACGTAATGTTGTCCGTACTCTGGACATTCAAGAATCTCATTACTTTCTGCCTCTTTACGTTTTGGTAGTTGTTTACTGAGTTTACAGTTCTTCTCCATTGCGTTCTGTTGTGCGCTACTCCCTCCCACTGATTCTGCATGCTTATCCCCATTAAGTTGCTCGACGTTCTATAAAGTATGCAGGAAATGGGAGAGCATATTTTTAATTATTTTTGAAAACCTCTGTCAAGTCGAGCACAGCCGACCATTAACAACTACCTACCAACCTACAACTGTAACTTCGTTATGGATAAAGCAAGAATCTTAATTTTTAGTGATCAAGAGTTCATACTATAACTGACTAAACTGTCTGTATATCTAATAAATAATTATACCTCATAGTTTATGAATAATAGCTAGTCAAAATTCTTTAATTTGGAAATGGATCAGAAAAAGTTATACCATGGGAAAATTTGCGGTGAACTGACAGTTTTAAAAATCT